CTACCCTGAGCGTGACTGAGGGTGGCATCGCAACCTCCCGATCCGCCCTGCTCTGTGCATGACGGGGCGGCGCCCCGACTCCCCAATCGGCCCTGCTCTGAGCCTGACCAGGGGCTGCACCTAGGGATTGGGCCTGCCCTCTGCCCCCCGGGAGCAGGCCTAAGCCAGCAGGTCGTTATCTCCCGAGGGGTCCCAGACTGCGAGAGGGCACAGGCTGGGCTGGGGGACCCCGCCCCCCAGTGCACAAATTTTTGTGCACCGGGCCTCTAGTATGTATATAAACGCCTAATATGCAAAGTGTCCCCTCTGGAATTCAACCAACCAAGAGTTCAATTGTTTGCTATGACATGCGCTGACCACCAGGGGGCGGCGCAGAATGAAGGAAGGCCCTGGCCAGCAGTTGGAGAATTTCCTGCACTGGGCCTCTAGTATTATTATACGTAAGATCATTTTTCTTGAATAACTGGTGTTTATTGCGTGTAACATTATCATATTTAAAATCGTTTTTCTTGAGATATTGTTTATTGCATGTAACATTATTATACTTAAGATCGTTTTCTTAAAATATTAATATAATATTAAAATAAAAAACTGAAAAAAAAAAAAACTTCTTATAAAGAAAACTTCAGGCCCACATGGCTTTACTGGTGAATTCTACCATTTAAAGAAGAAATATATTACTTCTACATATACTCTTCAAGAAAAGGGAACACTTCCCATCTTACTTTATGAATACAGAATACCCTGATACCAAAACTAGACAGACATTCCAAAAAAAACCAAAAAACAGCAACAGTCCAATATCCCTCTTGAACACAGAAAATATTAGCAAAGTGAATCAAGCAATATATAAAACACCTCATGACTAAATTGGCTTTACCTCAGGAGTGAAAGTTTGGTTTAACATTTTAAAATTAACAGAATTTACCATATTGACAGACTAAAAAATAAAACTATCCCAATAGATTCTGAAAAGTTCAACATGCATTCACGATAATCAGGAATAAAGGAAATCAGGTCATGGCAAGGATGACCATGTCCTGGCCTATAAAGTAAGTCTAATTTGTTAAGATCAACATTATAAAGAGGACTTAATCTAAATTTGTGGATGGTAATTAAAGCATCAAACTACAGTTCTAATAACAATAACAATGAAAAAAGGTTTTACTAGTATACCTATCTTACCAGATTTTCTTTTTTCAGATAATTTGCTTGGTGTCTTAAAATTATTGATTTCTTCCATTGTAATAATCACTCTAGGTCCTATGATAAAAATAAATTGAAAGTTACATTGCAGTTATAAAGAACACAACTCTAATTCATTAAGAAAAACCTCCTATAGTAGCTCTCATTTTATCATATTAAGCATTAAATTTGAGAACTGAGAAAGACCATGATCTAGTCCAGAGCCTCCCTTCTCCAGCACGGGAGCCTCTTAGACACCTGGACCATGGACCCCAGGGAATGCTCCTGATGGTCTGGAGGAATATGCATCTGTAGAGACAACTACAAATGCACAGCCTGCAACTGTAAAACATGTTGAAAAAGCTACTGCTCCCCCAGCCCCCAGCCCCCCCAAGTGTGCCTAGGGCTGCATCTACAAAGGAGGCTCCAGCAAGTGCAGCTGCTGCCATTGAAATGCAACCGTTGTGCTGAGGGTGTGGCCTGGGAAGCTTCTGTACAGTGTATTAGTTGAGAAGATTGTGCTTTTTATATATTTGCCCCAATGAGGTGTTGGTGACATTCATGTACATTGCTTGGAGCAATAAAGTTTTCACTCATGGTAAAAAATATTTTTAAAAAAGAAAGAAAAATATCTAGTCCAATTTTATTTACATGAGAAATGAGAAAACTGAAACCCAGACAGGTACAATTCCTTACCCAAGGCCATACTATTAGTGAAAGATTTTTTCTGTTGTCTTTTTTTTATATATATAGTTTTTTTGTTTTGTTTTGTTTTGATTTCAGAGAGGAAGGGAGAGAGAGAGACATCCATCGACTGCTTCCTGCACTACCCCTACTAGGGATCGAGCTCGCAACCCAATCAAACCCAGCAGAGAGAAAGAAACATGGATGTGTCTCACTTGTGATATGTTGCCTCCTGCACAAGGCAGTGGCCAGGATTGAGCCTGCAACTGAGGCACGTGCCCTTGATCGTAATCGAACCTGGGTCCCTTCAGTCCCCAGGCCAACACACTACCCACTGAGCCAAATCAACTAGGGCATTTTTTGTCTTAATTAAAAATATATGAAGTTGGTTAAAAAAAAAAAATTGCCACTACAAAAAGGTAAAGAGTCAATCTCCTTCTCACACGTCCTGAAAGTACTTAACAGGTCTTTCATACCCTTTAAAGAAATTGTCTATGCAAACAGCATTATTCATAGCAGCCCAAAAAAAAAGGAAACAGAAATATCCATCAGAGGATGAGTAAATAGGTAATTCCATTTACACGAAATGTCCAGAATAGGCAAATCCAAACAAAAATAGATTAGCAGCTGGGGTTAGGAGGAAGGGAGGGAGTGGGTGTGGGGCTTCTTTTTGGGGTGATGGAAATGTTCTAAATTAGGTAGTGGTTGAATATATTCAACAATGGGATTGAGTCTATCACTGAATTATATACTTTCAAAGGATGAATTTTATGCTGCGTGAATTATATCTCAATTAGCTATTATAAAAATCGTCTATGCAAATAAAATGTACATACATGCAAGTTAACCCGGGCTTTCTATTTCTTCCATAACATATTTCTTAAAGAACCTTTTTCACAAATAAATTAATTTTTCTTTTTTTAAGAAATAGTGAGGTTTCGCCGAACCGGTTTGGCTCAGTGGATAGAGCGACGGCCTGCGGACTGAAGGGTCCCAGGTTCGATTCCCGTCAGGGGCATATACTTGGTTGCGGGCATATCCCCCAGTGGGGGGGGCATATACCTTGGTTGCGGGCATATCCCCAGTGGGGGTTGTGCAGGAGGCAGATGATGGATCTTTCTCTCTCATCAATGTTTCTAACTCTCTATCCCTCTCCCTCCTCTCTGTAAAAAACCAATAAAATATATTTTTAAAAAATAGTGGTTTCATATTATTCGTTACTTACTGTAAAACAAATGTAAAACTACATGGATAAAGCTCATTTGGTTTGTCTATAAAAAATACTTGCTTTAATTTCTTGTAGAGCCCTTAATACGCGGCACCTTTGAAAACTCTGTGCCAAGGAAAAAGAAGTCATCTCAAAGGCCCGGCTTTACCTTTCTATTAATAAGACGTTTGTTCATGTTTTTAAAGGTAGCTACAATCACCACCACTGCCTTTAGATTCACACGGAAGATCCCCTTTCCATTCACTTGTCAGCCACCATCCGGCTAAACAAACACAGAGACAAAGCGGGCTTCCGAAGCTCAGTGTAGATGAGCCAATAGGAGCACCGCGGGGGGACGCGGGGCGGAAGTTCTGATCGGATCATCCCCAAGGTCCCGCACACGGGGCGCCCTCAGGAGGACTCCTAGGGACGGAGGCACAGCCCGTGCACCCCCTAGTCCGGGAGTTTACAGAGGCCGGTGGTTTACATCCTCCCTCCACCTGCGCCGTCAGCTCACCTGGAAACCGGGGGCAACGTTAGTTGCGGGGTTCGAAGCAGGGAACTGTGCTTCGCCCTTCTTCCTCCGACTCCAGCCCCCGCGTCCCCGCCACAGACCCTTCACCGGCTCTAACTCCCGGCGGTGTGGAAATCGAGACGACAGTTCCCACCGGCATACGGCCTGGTATTCGGATCGGGTGCACCCCGAGCACCGGCCTAGAGGGGGGGCTCCCCGCGAGCCCTCCGAAACCCACTTCGGCTGGCCAGGCCGGGGCTCCCCCATCTGCCTGACCAACGTATCCGCCCACGGAGCTGCCACCACCAGGACAGATGGCCGGGCTTCGCTTCGAGAAAGAACAACTTCTCCCACCAAATCCCCATCCTACCCCGTGATTCCGATGCGCACTCGAGTCTGGGTCGCAGGGAAGGATCCTAAGATAATTCCCAGTTTAACGCCCGATTTCCAACGTCTTCAACTTTCCTGCTAGGCCGCGAGCTGTTACAAATGCCAACGCTCGACCCGGCATCCAGGCCCGCGCGGTCTGGGTCCGAGGAAAGGGCCCCCCACACCCCCCTTACCCGGGCGGCGCGGAGCTCGCGCTCCAGGTGGAAGAGGAGCCGGCGGACCAGAGGCCCCGGCCAAGGTTACCTGAAAAACTGGTCCCGAGGGGCCGCCAAAGGGACCCCGCGGCTACTTCAGCGTCAAGCCGGCCGAGCACTACACCGGCTACGGTTGTTGTGCCTGGAACCCGCGGGGCTTTCAAAATCGCGCGCACATCCCCAGCGCTGGACGCAAACTACGGGGTGGCGCGAAGGACAAAACTAGTCGTGTCCGTTCTTTTTCTTTCCGGTGTTTGTACTGATTCTATTTTACCACCAAATAGGGATCCTTTAAGATAAATAGAATGAAGAGAAACGCAGGGAAGGACAAACTGCTTTTTATATCCAATGCCAGCCCTTCAGAGGAACAACTCTGGCTTAATAGACTATATATGCCTTTATTTAAGGCTGAAATTCTCCCCCAATTGCAAATACTCTCAGAATGTTTAATGGTTATTATGTAGTTTTTATTACAAATTCATTTGGCCTTGAAACACTATTAACTAAAAGTGCATTAGCATAGAGTAGCAATCATTTTTGGCTGAGAAGAAACATAGATATTTAGAAATTCTGCTAACTTGTAATAACCACATTCAGTTCAACATGTGTTCATTTATTCAACAAATATCTATAGAGCACCTACTATTGTTATATTGTAGATCAGAAGATGCCTTAATCAATAAGCCAAATTTATTTGGAGTCTTTTTCATTTCGCTAGCGCTAGCAGGCCCAGAGGAAATATTGCTTCTCAAATTCTGGGGCCCAACATGGTGGAAGTCTTTCCTATTTATACGTTTTTCAGCTCTTTGTCTCCCAAATTTGGAATGAGACTTCCGGACCTTCTGAGAAAAAGTCCTGTGTGCTGGGACAGGGCTGGGAGACTATATCTCAAGGCCTGGCCTGGCGCCAGCACTGACAGCTCTGTCTGGGACATAGCTTATAGCCTCTCTGGGGGCCTGGCGCCAGCACTGACAGCTCTGTCTGGGACATAGTTTATAGCCTCTCTGGGAGTAGTCTTATTTTCCCTATTATTTAAGCAAGCAAACGTTTACAGAAGCCCAAATAGCAGGGTTAAAATTTTAAACAGCAGTTTTTACCCAAGATGAAGGTTACTATGCTTCACTATGTTGCAGGTGTGTATTGAGTGCCCACCGCATAGGAAATACTGTAGTAGATAATGCAAGAGACACACCAGTGATTAAGCCACAGAACTTAGGAGGAGAATAGACTCTGCTGGGTAGGGGGTGGGGAAATGTCACAAGAACAGAAACACACACACACACACACACACACACACTTCATAATACAACCTACACACTTCATATTGATACAGGATTTGGGGACTAGAACACATGGTATTCCCCTAGGCAGGATGGCTTCCCGGATTCTTTGTCCGTCAGAGTTGGAGAATGAAACCAGGGACAGAAGGTGGTATAACAAAGGTGGAAATTTATTGAAGGACAAGCACAGACTCCCACGTGGGGAAGGGGAAAGAATCGCACAGCACAGACTCCCACATGGGAAGGGGGACAGAGTCCCTCCCAGTCCCCCCCCCACCCATTTTATAAAAACGGTAGTTTTTGTGCCTGATATCCCCTCTGATTGTCCACCATTCCCTTTGATTTGGTCACTAAAGCAACTCCTGAGCTCAAAGGTCAAACCTCACATGGGCCCTGTGAGGCCCTCCTTCATTGTTCTCCTATTCCAGTGATTCCCAAAGTGGGCGCTACCGCCCCCTGGTGGGCGCTGCAGCGATCCAGGGGGGCGATGATGGCCACAGGTGCATTTGTTTTAACTTTTTTTGTATTACCTTTCTATTCTGAGTTCAATAAATAGTTTCATAATTTCAAACTTCAATGTTTCTAATTTACACCTTTCTTTACTATATTTTACGAAAAAGGTAGAAACATTAATACATATATCTTTCTGTTTAATTGCTATTAAAATTTTTAAAAAATTAATTTCCAGGGGGCGCTGAGTAATATTTTTTCTGGAAAGGGGGCGGTAGGCCAAATAAGTTTGGGAACCACTGTCCTATTCCCTCTGGGCTTTCTTCCTTCTTTATTTTGTAAACTAGAGGCCAG